TTTTTTTTTTTTTTTTTTTTTTTATATAATTATAGAACTTTATTTTAATAATATGAGACACAAGATTTTAGTAAAACGTATAAGACGTTATTATTAATTCAATCGAATCAGTCAAGATTTTATTTATGATTATGAAGATGTAGATATAATTTTTTCATATAATGAAATAGCATTTGAAAATGATGAAATCATGTGAAAATAACTTCGACGATTTGAAGCATATTTATATTGTACAGAATTGTGCAGACAAAAAAATTATAGTATTCTTAAATATTGGAAAAACTACTGACTCCTAATGTCGTTCTATCATCCGAAAATCTCATTAACTATGTCAGCCAGTTAGTTTTTATTTTTCCTATTAGTTCGGATATGAGAAGCTCTATCTATAATAAACAAATATACTCTATGTATATTGTTATGTTTAATAACAAATAACAAGGTAACGACGACATTTACATATATACATTACAGTATGTACGTATGTATATATATATATATTTATATTTGTTTATATTAATATAATAGTTACATACATTTCTATGAAAAGAAAGTCCGTTGCTAAAATGAAATAACTTCTTTAAAAAGAAAAAAATATAAAGTAGCAAACAATTCATAACGATTTCTAGAGCGATTAGGAACGAAATAATGTGCAACGCGTGTAAAATTTATAATTATTACGTTTATGTATTTCTTCAGCACAACAGAATTCAGAAATGCATTTTTGAGGACAATACGTCAAATTATTCGGGAATCGGTCCGAAATATGAATATACCATCAACGAAACAGAACTTGAGTCAATCGTCGATCACTATTTCACCACGTATGTCGACCGGGCATGTTGAAAAATTTGAGAAGCAGTCAGCAAACCAAGTACAAAATGGCAGTAATAGTAGCACCACAACTACCGGTACGCTATCAAAAAAAACGGCTAAACCACAATTGTTGCCAACTTCCCATAACATAAAGCGAAAATATAGTCAATCGAAGCAAACAGCGGAGCACGAAAGCTCCGAAGATAAAGACACCGAGGAGTCGGCAGGTGCAATTAATCAGCAACAGACATTTCGCTCCCGAAGCAAAACTATAAGCGATACATCCGGTAAGATTGTTTCACACACTTCTGTCCAATTTTACAAAGTATTCAAATATTTAAAAGAAAGAGATTTCTTAGTTTTTGTAAATTTTTAAGTTCTTTCTTCTTCTTTTTTTTTTTTTTTTTTAGTTCTTAACATTTGTTTAACAATTGATTAATTCACTGATCTCTCTCGTATATTCTAAGTGGTATCGTTCTAATGAATAGGAGAGATAAAAGTCGAAATGGATTCAGGAACAAAATCCGAAGGAGAAGAAGATTCCCAAGCTTTTTTAGGTGAGAAGAAGGCAAATTTGGGCCGTACACCGAATCATTTGACTTTGAGCACCACTTCAACCATTTCAGCAGGAAGCACAGGTAGTCAGGCGAGACTGATCCAGTCTTCTCATCAACCGGAAAATTATCAGCCAATCGCAGTCAAGGAACTTGGTAAGAAGTTCAATATTGTCTCGAATAAGAATTCTTATTAATGTTAAACGAAACTCATTATTATTATATATGGTTACATTATATGATTTTTTCCAAATTTTGCATATTTTTTGACATAATTTCTCCCTTAAACGCTTTATTACGTTGTTAAAATGACGAATGGATCGGGAGAGGTTGCAAGAATAATGTATTTTTATCTTCATTTTGTAAACTGTAAAGTACAATGAGTTTCTTATAACTTTGAGAGAAGACTTGGTCTCCAAACTAGAATAACTCAACAGGTAGAGCCAATCTTAATAAATGGATTGCCTAGTGCCTGGCAAATAAAACGAAAATTAGAATTTGTCTTGGGGAAGTTAAATCTAGATTTAATTTCTCTATTTTCAATTTTCACCCCATAAAAATATAACCAAACCTGATCCAATATAGGATAAAGGATCAAACTGGGACAGATTTAGTTACATTTTTTTATGGGATGAAGATATCCATGCTTTCTGAAAGCAATATTTATGCATAATTCTTTGAGTCATAATTACGTATAAACTTATATATAAACGACGTATTTATTTATAAACTGAAAAAAAATATTATGTTTTCATTAATTTTTACTTAAAGGAGAAGAAATATTTGATTAGATGCTGAATCATGTTTTAAACTTAGACCTTGGCAGGCAATAGTTCCAGTAAGATAAAAAGAATCGTATCAAAATGATATATGTACTTTAGTACATGTACAAAATATATACATTTACCTATTTTGTTTATACATTTGCATTTGCATATTATCTGTTGAAGGTTCGCCAATTTGGAAACCACGAGAATTACCTTCGCTAGGAGAATCCACGACGTTACCACGTAAGGGTAAGTCGGCCAGCGAGTTTGGGGATATAAACTCATCTCATAGCGCCTCCCGAAAGTCTCTAATAGAAATCAATAATTGTGCTCAACAATCTAACTGTAATAACCATATTTAAATTAAATAGATGTTAATTGATTGATGAACTATCGAGTTAAGTTTAAAAGACCGTGCAACAAAAATAAACCAAACAACTATTCAATTACCGCGTAAACTGTAAAAATTAGTATTCGCTTGCCGCCCACGTGGAATGCTTTAACGCTGGTACGTTCCCCTCCTTGCACATCTCCTCGTTTCGTCTTCCAAACGTACTTATACGTTATTAAACGTCGTTGGTGCTACTCCTCTGTACAACGAACGAATATTCAATTGTTTAACAGGAGAGAATCTTATCCGAAGCTTTGCTCTTAGCGAGAAATAAACATGCGTAACAGACAGAGAACAATCTCAATATATACACACGTACATCTTACATGCATTTGATGATAATTCCAAAGGAGATCATACTCGGATTCTTCCTTTTCCGTTCTTTCGTCAGCTATTTTTCGATCTTTTATTTATTATAATGTTAGATAGACGTGCGACATTGCCATTTACCGCTACCATTTTATTATTGTAATCGAACGCAAATTGTACTAAAAAAAAAATATATATATATATACAAATATCATACATGTAGAAATATGTACATACATACACGTGTTACAAAGGTATACATGCGTCATACAACTAAAAATAATAGCAGA